AATTGGCATGTATGCATCATGAAGATATATCATCTAGGATTTTGTGTAGTTATGTTTGGAGGCTTCCATAATATGTCCTTTTAGCTTAAGGCTTTGTGTAAGATTGAAGCAACAAAACATAATCTTGTGAGTAAAGTTTTGTTTGAGACATGTTTTTTATCACTTTCCGAAACAATTTTTTAGTACAAAATTTTTTAAATTAGAGATTTTTGTTCTAAAAAGCTACTACATAAAGCAGTAAGAAAGCTGTCTCAAATGAAGCTTAAGTTTTTTGAAGTGTAGATTTGTCGTTTCGCTTTGAAGACGAAAGTTTTAGGATAACAACATTATCGAACAACGACAAGGAGTGTTTTGAAAAATCAGAATTATAATGAGATGTAATCATCTTGTATGTCAAATTATATGAGCTTCTTCTTTGTTTTAAGCCTAGGAGTATTTGAGCTATGAAAAAAGCGGTGAGTTTTAATATCCTTCATTGTGGATACCGCATTCGTGGTTTTCTTTGGCATGAATTAGGGGTGCCAATTTCGGGTCATGATTCGGGTTCAGGTCGAATTTGGAATTGACTTGGCACTCTTCGGGTCTACCTGAACCTAACCGGTTTTTGTAAACGGGTCAGTTTTTCAAACCTGAACCCAACTCGCTTCTAGTTTGGGTTAACCCGACATGACCCGTGGACATGGATACGCATTCTCGGGTTTCCGGTTCAACCCAAACCCGACCTAATTTTTAAAATGGGTCTAAAATCCTAACCCGAACCTGACACGGTTCTGGTTCGGATCAGCATGAACCTGAAATTTTTGTGTTATGTTCAAATCGAGTGTTCGGGTCATGTCAGATATTGACACCGCTAGCATGAAAAGACTATTTCTTAGTTTTTGGATGAATAGAGTATTGACTGGTTACTTTTTTGTTTTTTTATCCTTGTCATACGAAAATCTCTAGCATCATTGATTAAGGAGGGTGGGAAGACATAATAATTGCAAAAGGTTTGGCTTCTGTTATATGAAAATTCTAGCAACATATTAATTGAAGCAGTTTGTTGCCCAACACCATTAAAGTTAGGTTCATATATCTAATTTATCATTTATTAACATCAATAAATTTTAGATCATTTATAGATGCAAAATTATTGTCTTGAGTGTCAGTCTACTGATCTAAGAATACATTTATATAATAAGTAACAGAGCACTGACCCACCTAACAAGTCCAATTAACCTAAACCAAGAAAATATCAGGCTTGGACAATATATGTTTTGATCACATTCAATATAGTATCACTAGTTTAGATCTGATTCTTTTATTTCATTTGGTTGGTCTTTGTCTTTGGATGGTCATCTTCTATAGAAAAAGATATAAGAGAATAACTTTATGTTGAATCAGCACTCTCTTGAATGGTAGATCTCAACCAAATAATATACATTATGTTCAGAAGATATACTTTTTGCTGTACAGATTAAGCTAAGCCACATATTAATGCATTTGTTTGATTAAGAATCAAAGCTATATTCTTTTTGTCAAAGTAGGGAATTTTTGCTGCATTATTTTAGTTTTCTATGTGAACAAAGTGACAACTTTTTTTGAGTAAGGACAGAGGTTGACAAAGCTATAATCAGCTTTATCAAAAGCTACTGTACTGCTCAAATTATGTAGTTATCCATAGCTCTGTCTTGGATCAATCACATCTCATCTTTCTTTCTTTCCTTTTGCTTTTTCTTTTTACTTGGGGCCCATAACCCAGCCTAGCTCTTGCAGTCTTCAGACCAAAGAATTCATTTTTTCTATGGTAGATTTACTAGCTTGATACTTGAAAGACTTTTATTTCCACTTAGATAAGCTGGAAACTCTAATGAAAATTTTGATATAGGAATATTACAACAACAAAATAATTAGGATGAGTTTTAATGTCTTCAAATATACTTTGAGATGAGTGTAATATTAGATCTCAAAGCGTCCTCAAGGCTTTAATTTTTGCTCTAATTAAAAATTTGATCAAATTATTCAGATGAGATTTTTTTTAATCTCCAATGATCTAATAGAAAGCATCACTTATAGGATTTTTCAGAATATAGCAAACATCTAATTGGAAGGAGAAGATTAGTGAAAAGTCAACATCTCAAATGTTAAACTTTTTTTTCTTAATCAAGTGCTAAATTATTCTTATTAAGGTTAACTTCTGATTTGTATGTTTTTTGGCATTTTGCTGCTTTTTTTGTTGGTTTTCCCTTTCCTTCTTTTTTGAGTGGGTGAGTGGTGGACGGTTAGGAAGTAGGAACAATGTCATTGGCATTTTTTATACTACAATTAGACTTTATCAAAGAAGAAGATAATGTTTTTCATTTAATTATTTTTTACATTGTTTATTAGAACAACTAATAGTCTTTTTTTGTCTAAATTTAATATATTGTATTCATTCCAACAAGTAAATTGCTATAAGATTAAAATAAAGATAAAGGCTAAGATCATCTAGGAAAAGAAGGCTTAGAGGATTCAAATTTTGAAGTCCTAAGTTTCAACCTTTGTATTGGAAGGGAAAACTTAAGCCTTTTGTTTAAAATTTTCAAAAACTATGCCTCTAAAAGTCAGAGCAAGAAGGAAGCAAAGCTACAAATGCTGCCAAAGTTTGGAATTGCTATCAACCATGAGAGGGCAAAGAAAACCTTTGAATGATTTAGGGATTGAGTAAACTACAAACCTTAATACAAAGGAAGAAAGCCTTCACATGTGTGTGACATATGACAAACAAAAGAGACCCTGCAAACTTCAACTATCAAACTTATTATCCTTATTCGAACAATTTGATTCAGTTTTATAAATCTTCATTTTACATTTGGTGTTAGGTGCTAGAAGATTTGTGGCAGTATAGTGTTTTATATATTAACTTTATACAAAGGTCCGACATGCACAAATAAAATTTGAAAGAAATATCAAATTTTTTTTATGTAGAAAATTCAAAAAGAGAAAAAAATCATAGGATATGATGTAATGTTAATGGTGCAATATATAATGATGAATAAAAGAATCTGCTCTTTTCTACAACTAAAGAAAATTGGGATTATACAATTATGAATAATTGTCTGATTCTCATTATAGAGATCACAAAGCTCAAATGCCCACATATAGACAATTGAAGTCCAATAGTAGAGTTAGATGTTAGTAGTTAGGAGACAACACAGTCAGATGACAAAAGTCAAGCAATAGTGATGTTGATTGCTAATGGTTGTCGACTGCGACGATCCAGGGGAAATGTAATAGAGTTCTTTAGCTCTATCAGCTCTTGAACTCCTCTCACATAGAAAATGAGATCTTATTTATAGTTTTTTGAGAGATGTACTTTATTAAACTTGACTAGAATCCAAAACACTCCATTAAACGGTCTATATTGATTTCTTTGATCATAGATGATTTCTTTAATATATGTGTATCTTAATGACCTCATAATTGAATAATCTTTAGATTCGTTGAATTCATCGTATCTAGCCGTTCAAATTGACTATAAAACATACAGTGGGAAAAATTATTCTGTCAGGACAACGTAACGAGCATACTGAACCGCTGAATGGTACCGCCGTCGGTACCGAGTGCTCAGTGATGTGGCGCTTTTTTATTTGTCTCTGGACACGTTCAGTATCCGGACACAATAATCTCTCGAATTTGGAGACTTCTTAGTGATTTAAATCATTTAATTAATATGGTGATACTTTCGAATATGCTTCAAGTGCTTGAGTTGTGTTCTTAGAATGAGTTTATCTTGTCAAGAAGTTTAGTTCAACAATAAACTTGTTGAAATCAAAGTTCGGATGATCGTAAATTTAATTCCGAAAACTTTTCAATTCAAATATTGACTTAAGATTGATGCCATTCAAGTAAATTTTCTAAATTTGTATTAATTCTCGCTAAATATTGCATGGATTTAAACTTATTTTGCACAGATCTTTTGTCACATTGTTTGTACTAAATGTTGAAGTTTTGTGATACTTATCACGATTGTTAATTCTTTCATTACATGCATGACTGTTTGCTTCCACAAATCCAACTCTATAAGGTGCAAGCTAAGAGTTTCAGAGTCCATTTATTGTTGCAGCACAACCATTTAGCTACTTTTTTTTTCAGATTTTTTTTTTTATGAAAAGAAATTTTTTTACAGACTTTTTCGATAAGAATATTAAAAAGATCATACCCATTACTATAAAAGAATTTAATTTCCCCAACACTCTACAACTCTACAGTTGTTTTAACAAATAGTTGCACCTGCCTGCCTCTAAAGAACACTTGCAGGGTATTCTATTTAAAGGGTCATCTTTTGTAATTTTAACTAAAGCAGTGTAAAAAAATTCATGTGGTTGGATGCAGGAGGATTATTATCTGAATCACCCAGGGCGGAACCAATCTTAATTTTCTGGGAGGCAAACTTATAAGTAAATGTGTAGAGTTTTTTTTTTTTTTATAAATATATTTACAACCAAAATTTATTTCGGGGGCGCTGCCCCTCAACCCCTATTTGTTCATATTCTTAATCGTTGTATGCTTTGGAGATAAGCGCCCCCTTGCGGAGTTCGATATAAGTTGTTGATAACAAATTTTGGTTGTAAAGATGTTTTTAGATTTTCTTTACTATTTTTTTTGTATTTGGTTCATCGTTCCCTAACAATAACATCTCTACATAATGTGTTTAATTATGTTGGGGCAATTCCTTAAAGAGTAAAGACCATAGTATTTTAAAACTTTTAGGGGGGGCAATTGCCTAAAAACCTTTGTTATAAAGACTAAAAAATAGATGGAGGGGGGCAAATTAATTAAAGAATCATATCATAATTTTTTTTTTAGGGGGTTTAATTGCCCCCGGGCTTATAGTGGATCTGCCCCTGGAATCACCTATAATCACTATGACCTTATGACTACCTTATAGTCATTTTGTTTTCATTCTTTTACAAAAATTCCAAATGAAAAAAAATTGAATGTTAATGCTAGATTGACAACCAATTGTAAAACTAACGATAGGCACTGAAAAGATCAAATTTTTATAAAACAATCACAAATTACAGCACCCGGAAATGTATAGCCAAAAAAATAATAAATAAATGTCTCAGCTTTAAACATACAAATAAATGCCGGATTAAAAAAGAGAGCTTGGAACATCTTATGAAAACATACCTCAGGACACAATGATGCAAGGTGAAGTAGACAAAAGAAACATTTTGCATGAGCAGTGAATGCCCTGAACTCTGTATTTGACAGCCTTCAACGATCTTCCAACTGCAATTAATTGCTATAATCCAATCTACTCTCTTAGATGCATGTTCTAAGTGACGATGCAGATTCTACTGCATCTCTCTTGGAACTGCAAATGAAGCTTGTCTTCTCTATGCTCTGAGACCAACCTTGCAATGTCTCTCCCCACCAGCAGATCTCTGTGTCTTTCTCATGGAACTTCCTCTCCCTGCATTTGATATCAGTCTCAAGTTCTTCTATCCATTCCTGTTTTCTTGCTTCAAGTAGCTCATAGAGCCTTCTCTCTAGCTCGCGAGGGCAAACCCCGCAATGTTTGTTGGATTCTGCTTCTTTAGGACGGTTAACTTTATGAGTTCCATTCAAGTTCTCACAGCTTTGACTTCCTGCCTGTAATGATCATCAATTGAAACGACCATGCAAAGCACATTACAGAATTCTTGTTGTTGCGTCCTAGAGTATTCACGGCGGTAGAGAAATATATAGTTTAATATCTTAGCATTATACGAAGATCCAGCACACAAGCAGATAAAAGAGAGAGTGGCGTTCATAAGAGACACCAGAATTTTTACGTGGAAACCCCTGAAAATGGGAAAAAACCACGGGGCATAGCTCAGTTTGAATGAATCCACTACTATTTGTAGTTGATTACAAATGAGGCCCTTCCTTGGGAGAAGGCCTTGGCTTAATGGTACAAATGTACATCATATAGAGCGCATTACATGGTGGGTGTTACAATAATCAACATAGATACGTTTGTTTGATTTGAAGGGTCATAGTCGGCAGGAGACATGGGTCCGAAAGACCGTAGTTTGCAGGAGACCGGGGTGAGAAAGATCGTTGTCTGGCGAAGTAGGTCGGAAGGACCGTAATATGCAGAAGACTGAGGTCAGAAAGACTGTTGTATGATGATGTATGTCGTAAGGACCATAGTAGGCGATGGAGGTCGGAAGAACCATAGGCGGCAGGAGACAGCGGTCAGAAAAATCATTATTTGGCGATGTAGGTCGGAAGGACAGTAGTAGGCGACGGAGGTCGGAAGGACCATAGGCGACAGGAGATGGGGGTCAGAAAGACCATTGTCTGGCAATGTAAGTCGGAAGGACCATAGTAGGCGACGGATGTCAGAAGGAGCGTAGTCGGCAGGAGACAGGGGTCCGAAAGACTGTAGTTGGCAGGAGACTGGGGTCAGAAAGATCATTGTAGGAGGGCGGTACTCTGGTAGAACTTTGGGTATCAGGTGGTGGCCTAATAGAAGTTCGGGCCTCAGGTGGTGGTCCGGCAGAAGTCCGGGCCACAGGTGGTGGTCCAGTAGAAGTTCGGGCAACAGGTGGTGGTCCGGTGGAAGTTTGAGCCTCAGGTGGTAGTCCGGCGGAAGTCCGGGCCTCAGGTGGTGGTCCGGCAGAGCAACGACGTCAGGCGGTGGTTTGACGAAGCTCAGGGCCTCAAGTGGTACTTCAGCGGAGCAACGAAGTCAAGCGGTGGTTCGACATTAATTTAATCTCTAGCCTTTACGCATCTTTCTGCTCTACACCTATCCTTCTCTTAGCCTTACTACAAATCGATGATTGCGCAACACTTGAAATAAAAAGCATACCCAATCTAATATTAATTGTCATATTCAGCTTAAAATTATGTGATAATCTTTTTAAGAGAAAAAGGCTTAGCAGACTGCCAATTCTAAATCCATGTGACTTGGTTGGTGAAGATTAAGCTAAAAAGCTTAGTTGAACAAGATTCAAGTTCAACTAATAATTTTGGTCGACTGTGAGTTAGAGGGGTAATCTTATATGTGAGTGGGATGTTAAACATATGGAACAAAAATTTCTTCCGCATTAAATTTTCACAAGATTTGATTGATATCTCTTTTGGTGCAAATTTTTAATTGATCTATTTTTGTTAGCTTGGAAAGAATATATATTCCATTTTT